TCCCTGCCTGTGAAACATCTCTCCAGCCCCAGAGCGGTGACTTCTAAAGATGGTGCTCGAATCATCATGCCCAAAAAGGACAGGGAGGGGGGAGAGAGAGAGGGAGAGAGGAGGGAGGGAGGGAGGGAGAGAGAGAGAGAGAGAGAGAGAGAGAGAGAGAGAGAGAGAGAAAGAAAGAAGAGAGACAGGAGAGAGATAGGATAGAGAGAGGGAGAGGAGAGGGGAGAGAGAGAGAGAGAAGAGACAGGAGAGAGACAGGATAGAGAGAGGAAGAGGAGAGAGGAGAGAGAAGAGAGAGAGGACACAGGAGAGAGAGAGAGAAAGAGGAGAGAGGAGAGAGAGGAGAGAGAGAGAGAGAGAGAGAGAGGTGACTGCCATAGAGGCAGGGAATTGGGGAAGAAATCTGGGGACATTGGTGGTAGGAAATGTGCACAGGTGAAGGGACAGGTGTTGGAACATTGTATGACCGAAACCCAGTCATGAACAACTTTCTAACTCTATTCTTATGGTGATTAAATTTTAAAAAATTCATTTAAAAATATATAAACTTTTGAAGATCTAATGTACAGTGTGGTGATAACTAACACTGTTGAATTATGTACTTAAGAGCTAAAAAAAAAAAAAGATGGAGCAGGGTAGGGCAGCACCAGGGAGTGGCACCGTGCTGACCACCTTGACCTTAGCTGGCCTCTATTTGGAGTTATAACCCTGCCGCCGCTGGCCACAGCTCCCGCCCCTGCTGGGGTGCTCTGTACCCCGTTTCCTTCCAAGCCCCTGTAGAACCTCCCCTGGGCTGCCGAGGAAGTGGAGACGTGGGCACCTTTGGGGATGAAGGACACTGATGGGGAGTGACTGAGATGACCAGAGAGGAAAGGGCTCCCCGACCAGGCCTGGGGGGAGGGGGGTGCACCCGAGTCTTGGGGTCACTCCAGAGGCTGAACCCATCAGAGGCCGGGCCGTCCTCTCTCTGGACAGAATAGGACAGTGGCGACGGCCGTTCTTGCAGGCTCTGGAGCGAGCACAACCTCTGGACAAAATGTATCCCAGGCGTCAAACCCGTCAGCGTGCTAACGGGGGCAGTTCTTACCGTGTCATCTTTCGGGGGAACTCCGTGTGCTGAAATTGAACAGTGCTGACCACTGGACAGTGGTACAGTGTGGGGGATACTTGGGCTTGCAGGCGGAGCACCGGAGTTCGAGTCGGACTCCTTGTCCCACCCCCCACGGCAGCAAGCGGCAAGTAGTTCACCCAGAGTTGGCGCCGGCTGCCGTTTTTATCCAGGGCACGGGGAGTAGGGGAATGAGCATCACGTGAAGATCCAGTCTTTCTCCTGGTGCTGGAATTCCTTAAAAATCACAGTGTTTTTAAGGCAGAACCGTCTCCAGTGCTCTCATATACAGAACACCTGCGAGTGTGTGTTCAGAACGGGGTCACGGCTAGGGGTGCAGTAGGGGCGGTCCGGGGTCTCTGTGAAGCTCCCACGTCATGGGTTCCGCGGGAAATAGGTAGGTTTCACCTCCACCAGCAACTCTGTGTGTGTGTGTGTGTGTGTGTGTGTGTGTGTGTGTGTGTGTGTGTGTGTGTGTGTGTGTAAAACGTACAGCGAGATGGGGGTGGCAGCGCCTTTGGTCTGGAATTCACATCTGTGTGGCCTTTATGGGGTCCATCTGCAGGTATCGGGTGGGCAGCGAGTAGCTCCTTTGGGCTTTGGATGCGATTAACCATGATGAAGAGTGACAGACTGAGGCTCTTCCTCCCCCACCCTGGAATCCCCCCACCTGGGCTAAAACACGGGTCACGTGTCTGCCAGGAGAAATGGCTCGCCGTGATGGCCAGGGCCTGGTTGAGTGGACCCAGGGCTCACTGGGCAGACGGAAGCCTGGTGACTGTTTGCGAGGCTCAGTTTACCTTCACGTCATGTTGGATACCACCTGGGGCATGAGAAAGACTTCTGTGTACTGAGAGATGATGGATTCCTCAAGAGCAGCGCAGAATCTCTCCCTCTCTCCCCCTTCCCTCTTTCTCTCTCCTCTTTCCCTCTCTCCCTCCCTCTTCCTCTCCTTTCCTCTCCCTCTCTCTTCCTCACTGTCTCTCTTTCTCCTTCTCTCTCTCTCTCTCACTCTCATTCCCCTTAGTATAGCGGGGACAGGGCTTTGCTCCAGCTTTGAGGGCCCCCTGCAGCGGTGGCTGGACTGGCCAGCCTGCCTTGGGCAACGTCCTAGTGCAGGGAGATTCTCACTTCCTGTGGACCCACTAAGCGGCCTGGGATGGATGGGAGGTGGTGGGGGGGCATCCTGGCCCTCCCTGGGCTCTCGGAGGCCTGGGCCATCTTGCAGGTCGTGCTTTGGCGGCTCCTCTGCCCTGGCGTGGCCTTCGCCTCTCCCAGATGCCTCCCCCTGAGCCAGAGTCAGACCATAAAGTCGCTTTTCACCTCCACGGCTGAGATGTCCACTCCCTCCTCAGCTGTGGGGCTCTGGGCCGGGGATGCCGCAGCTGTTGGCAGCTGACGGACCCGGGGATCAGGGTGGCCCTCCTCGGGATGGCTGTGTGGCCTCTGTGACCCACTCTCCCCCTCCACGGAGCAGGGAGGGTTGGCGTCACCTGTGAGGAAGGCGGCCACGTCTGAGATGGTGACGAGACGGTCTGGTGGGTGCCACAGCCCGGAGGTGGCCACTGCGAGGACGCTCGGGGCGTTTTCCACAGGGGGACGGAAGCACCCACAGACACGGCTCATGGCCCTGGGTTTCAAGTTCGGGGGAAATAGATCAGCGTATCCCCAGGGGTAGAGCACCGAAATGTGAGCAAGGAGAGAACCAGAAGGAACGTGGAGGAAAGGTCTCGGGGAGGGGAACACCGTGCGGTGGGGTCGGCCGTTACGGAGTTCGTGCAGCTGCGTCCTGGGCTATTTCTGGAGCGGAGAGGAGTCCCAGCGCGGGACAGCTGCGTGTCCTGGGGTGGAGGTGGGGTGGGGGGAGCAGAAGATGCTAGGAGGTGAGAACAGAGGCTGGACAGGAGGGGCAGCCAGAGAACTGCGGAGAAGGGACCAGACACGGGGGACAGGCTAGAACGTGTGATCAGAGCCCAGAGGGGAACGGGTGCGGCCGTGAGGGCAGGGGCCAGGCCCGGGTCCCCAGGAGGAGTCGGAGCAGACGAGGTGGCTCCCGTGGCCTGCAGAGGGTCCGCAGCGGGGGGGTTCCTAGCAGGGAGAAAGAATCAACCTCCACCTTGACTCTGCAAGAGGAAGAATCACTATCTGTTATTATTTGCTGTAGAACCAATACCCCTGTGCCACGTGGCGGCCTCGTGGCAGGAACGGCCCTTCTGCAAGTCTATGGGCTGGATGGGGCCGTCTTTCTCTTGGGTGGGCTCAGGTGGGCCTGGGCTGGCCTCGAGGCTGTCCCTGAGGGGGGCAGGTTGGTGCCTGGGGGAGTATCCCCATGTCCTCTGGTCACCCAGCTCACTGGGGTCGTGGCGTTCTAGTGGCCACCAGGAGACTGAACCCTACAGCGCCAGGGCCTTTCAGACTGGCCGCAGCACATTCTGGGGTCATGGACAGAGACGGGCGGAGGGAGACCAGGGCCCCTTAGGCAAAGAGCCTGTCAGCAGCACCCCAGGGTGGGGGTGGGTTCTGACTGAAGGGCTGTCAGTCAGGCATGTGCCAGGGAGAACAGAGCCCGGCTGGGGAGGAGACGCCCCCGCCCCCTCCCCGGAGCTGGTCGTTGGCAGGACCCCCGAGGTCTGGGTGCATTTGGGACTGGGGAGGGGGGGAAGACGAGCTCCCTGGCCCACACTTCCTTGGTGCTTCGGCTGAAGTGTTTCCTCCATCCGGCCCAAGTGGACTTTCTAGGCCCTGCCGGAAGGGACTGGAAGGAAGGAGGAGCGGGCAGAGGGTCCAAACCAGCCCCTCGATACACGAAGAAAGTCTCTAATCACCGAGCGCTGGGTCATTAGTGGGGGGAAACGAGCCCCCCAAGAACAGGAAGGGCCTCCCCTAAGCAGTCGAAGGGCAGCCGTAGTCATTGTTCTCTCTCTCTCTCTCTCTCCCCCACAGAAAATACCACGCCGGCATGCTAATCGCCTGAGAAACTTGGCCCACAGACAGCCACAAAGCACAAAACAAAACAAAAAAAACTCAGAGAAGACCCAAGAAGGGTGTTTTCCTGGCGTCTACCAGAAGCACTTCATCCACCCCACCCCCCCAATCCCTCCCACCCCCAGCTTTCTTTTCTAAAAAACAAAACGCACACAACCCCCGTCCCCCGCAACAAAACTGAAAGAAACAATATAGATCCGGGTGATCACTGCTGCGCAAGCATGTTCTTTATTTAAGCCCGGGACGGCAGGACAGGAGACGCTGACGCCCACGGCCCCGGGTGGAACCGAGGGTCGTGCACTTGTGGGTCCCCTGAAAACTCTGGGTCCCCCTCAAGCACCTCCCCCCGCCAAGGAGCCAGAGTTTTCCTCGGGTCCCCCAATGCCTCCTCCTCCTCCTCCTCCTCGGACTCTGAGGGTGTCGGGGGAGTGAAGAAGCAGAAGGCATTTGGCCTCATCTCTAAAGATCTGGTTCAGCTTTGGCAAGTTGAGCTGGTGGACCGGAAGCTTCGCCCCTGCCCGGTGCCCGTTTCTGCCCCGGGGACTGGGAGCAACCCGGCGAGCTCAGAGTGAGCCCTGAGCTCCGTGAGGCAGCACCCGGGCCAGAACTGCACTTTCTTCCCCAAACGTCAGCTGAGTGACCGGCGTGGGGCGTGGGACAGGGCCCCCGGCCCGGCTCGAAGGCCAGAGAGAATCGCTTCTGCTTCTACCCTATGACTAAAGAAGCCCCCTACCAAGCCAAGCTCGCTCTCCATCGCCCACCACCAGGAAGACCCACCCCCACCCCCCTGCACCCCACGATTTGCTTCTGGACTCCCCCGTTTCATTTCCTGCTGGTTGATGCCGCCATCATCGCCTCGTCCTCTCTCCGGCAGCTGTGGACTGGCCCTGGCGGGCAGAGGCAGGTGTGTGCGGGGGGTCCGGCTGGAGGCCCCCTAGCTGGCCTGGCTGTTGAGCGCCTCCTGGACGAGCCTCTCGCTGAGCGCCCACAGGGCCCGTGCTGTTGGCTCGCTCTGCGCCTGGCCCGAGGGTGTGCACCGGCAGCAGTTGTTGAAGTACATCCCGCCCAGGCCCTCGAGCTCGGGGGCCGCCGCGCAGTACACCGTGGTGGCCGCTCCTTGTTGCTGAAAAAGACAAAAAGAAAGACGAGGTTGGAGGCGTTGTGGTCCTGGAGCTCCGCGCGGGCCAGGAGAGGTGGGGGGGACGCAGCCCACGGGCCCAGAGAGCCCCCCAGTAGGAGGGAAATAACTGCTCCAGTCCATGGCCCGCCCTGGACGGTCTTCCCGACCCAGGGAAAGAGAGGGGGGAAGCTTCCAGACTCCAGTCTCCGCCCAGCCCAGCCCCTTGACTTCTCAATGCACAGTGGAACTGGGATGTCACGTGTTTCTAGAACTTTCCATTAGGGTTGATCCAGCTGCCCAGGCAGGGGGCTGGCAGTAGAGGTCTCCCCTTTCTTCTTCGCCCCCAGCCCGCGTTCTGCTAGAGTTTATGGGCACCTGCCACCCGTGTCTGCCCCATGCAGTCCCTGTGCATGTCCCTTCTCCTCACACCCCTTCTCTCTGAGCTTGTAGCTCGCCTGCAGTTTGTGCAGGGGCAGGGGGACGCTTGGACGTAGCCACCGCGGGCTGCCACGAATCCTTCCCTTCCACCTTGGGAGCACCCATGGGTGCGGGGTGGTGGGGAGGTGGGCGCCACTGGGCCACGCCAGCGTCCGGGGCACAGAGCGCTGCCAGGGATGATGCAGTGAGGAGGCCAAGAAATCACTTTGCTCTGCAAAGCCATTCATTAAAAATAATGGGCTGGCGTTCCCAGGCAGACGTGGCGGCACAGCTGGAATTTCAAACCCACCCCATGTGCCCCAGAGCCGTGTTCCGTCGACTAATTATCAGTGGTGAGGGACTGGGTGCTGAGGAGGGCGGGGAAGAGGTGAGCGGGATGAGACCCCTGTCAGGAGAGCACTGCAGAGTCTTACTGGGCCGTGGGTGTCCGTCTGCACCCAGAGCGTCCCAGGTCCCTGACTCCCTGGACCAAGTGCTCAGGGCCACATGCCTCTGCCTCCCAGCCATGGCATCGGAACCACGGGTGCCAGGGCCTTTCTGAGGACCGGGTCTAAAGGTATTGTTACGCCTCTGGCCCCCAGCCGTGGCATCGGAACCACGGTCGCCGGGGCCTTTCTGAGGACCGGGTCTAAAGGTGTCACTATTTAAGCAAGTGTTTAAAAGCAGATTAGGGTTTCTTTAGGGTATTTGGGAGTGTGGGGGACGCAACGGAGGTGCAGGATTTCCATTCATCTGAGGCCACGTTTGCCTGAGTCTGTTGAGTGTTGGGCTGGCTAGACCCGGCGTCAGGTCTCAAGGCCCGGCGGGAGACAGAGCGGGCTGCTGGACACCACCGCCGCTTCACTGACCAGTGCAAGCCCCGACCCTGTACGAGGCCTCTCACTGACGGGGTCACGGCCACATCAGCTCCGCGGCCGCGCCCCGGGGTCCACGCCCCACAGCTGGGCATTTGCTGGGCTTCGTCAGCTCTTTGCAAACGGATGAGTGCGGCTCCAGGCTGTGGACATCCATCCGTGTCCCCACACCCCCATTTCCTTTCACTGACTCACACTTCCTCATAGCCCTGAGCCAAGCCTCCGGCCCACGGAGCAAGAGAAGGGAGAGTGAGCGGCTCCCCCAGCTCGCAGGCATCCCGCATGGCGCAGAGAGGATGCAGGGCAGCCCCCAAACCCGGTGGGGGCCCACGGCGCTCATCCCAACGCCAGCCACGCGGCCCCCACGGGCCGTCCCCACACAGGGCGGAGAGCTGGCACACTGCACAGCCGTCTGCCCTGGGTCTGTTTTCACTTCGCAGGTGTCCAAACTCAAGCACAGTCAGATGGTTGGCGGTCTCAGCAACCAGAAAGAGGAGGGAAATTCCAGCCAGCTCACCCCCAGACCCAGGCTCACACCCCTGCCATACCCAGCCCCTGGGATTCTCCTCTCGGTGTACGTGGATATACATGCCTGCCCACATGGGGCAGACGCAGGTGGCAGGCAGTGGGTGCCCATGAAGCAAGATAGGCCTGAGGGGTCGTCCCTGCTCCCCCTGAGCGCCACCCAGCTTCCAGAGTCCATAGGAAAAAAAACGAAGGACGCCCCTTGGGAAGGTAACGAGGCAGCCCTTGGGCCCTGGCGACCGTGGTTCCGATGCCACGGCTGGGGGCCAGAGGCATAACGATACTCACTGTCCCCTTCTCGAAGCCACATTGCTCCAGGGCGCTGCTGGGTGGATGTTTTGCAAACACACCTCAGTGTAGCATGGTTAGAGGCAACCAGCTGGTGGGCAGAGGGTTGGTGCATGCGTTTTTTTCCTCAGTGGGATCCGAAATAAGCTGTTCTCACCTCACGGAACTCACATTTGACCACCACACTCAAGACCAGACCTGGTGGCAAAGCCCGACCTGCACCTCAGTGGCACTTGCATCTGGTGCCACCAGCCTCGGGACGAGGCCCGTCTTGCTGTCCTCCTACAGGCCCGGAGGGTGCCTGAAAACCAGGACCACCCGCAACACCCCAGAGACGAGCTGCCGGCACCTGGCATTCCCCTCGCTGACCCTGCCACACGGCCCCCCGTCCTGGACAGTCAAGGACCCATCCTATCTTCGGGTCCCTAAGCCTCCTACCCTTGAGGCTTTGCGGGGAGCCCTCTGGGCACTGAGGGTGGCCTCTGGGGGCATCTGTGTGGGCACAGACGTGATGGCTCCTCTGGGACTCATGGGCTGCCATCTGCCTAGCCCCAGCCCGGGCTGGAGCCCATTAGAAAAATCTTATTAGCCAACGGGCAGCCAGGCTGGTACACAAGGAAGACTTAATTCAAAAGAGCACCTTTAGAAGCACCCTCTAAGGACGCACTGGGGGTGGGGGTGGGGGGTATCAGGGGTGCCACTCCTTAATCCAGAAAAGACGGAAGAGCCCTAGCAAGGAAAAGACGCCAACAGCCGCCATGAGCTCTCTGTGTCCAATGCGGGAAGGGCGAGACTCTGCTGAAAGAAGGGCACCAGGCACAGACACGCGGCCGGAGCTGGACCCCCGGGAACTGTGAACAGCTTAGCTGTAGCTTGTCTGCACTCTTTAGCAATGGGAAGTGGGAGGCAGTAGCTCTGGCCCGCTGCTGGGCAGAGGGCGGCAGGGACAGGCCCCGCAGGACAGAGGGTTTCTGGGAGAATCTTCACTCATGCCTGACTGCCGTTTCTGATCTGGTCCCGCGCTTGTGAGCCAGTGTCGACAGTGTGTGGAAAATGACCCGGATGCTTGTAGGGGATTAGGTGCCGAGAGCCTTGGGGGTAAGGCCTCATCATCCTCGCTCACAAACCGTTTGTCGGGCTTGCCGCGCAATCTCCAACCTCAGAAAGGACGGCGGCTCTTCCTGTACCGCCGAGGCCCCGCCATCTCCACCGTCCGCCCTTCCAAAACCTGTGCTTGGCATGGGAGCGGGGCGGCGCCACTTCCCATCAGCGTTCATTTGATAACTGCTCACTGTCCATTTGTAGCCGTCAGCACTGAATGCAAATGAATGTCGACTCTTTGAAAGGAAAAGGCACCGAGGTTTCTGAGAAACAATATCTGGGGGAGGGCGAACACAGACACCCACACCCCCCTCCTCTCAGCAGTACCGGGGTAGTCCTCCCCACGCACTTCCGTTCTGACGGGGCCATGCTGCACCACTTAACCTTTAGTTTGCAGGCTGACTCTCTGTTACAATGCACGCGTACCGAAAAGGAAGAGTAGATTCCCGTCTTCAAGCTGACTGAGCTAGAACAGGTAGAGACACTAGACAGACGGCGTGAGCACGACCTCTCTTCTTAGCCCGAGACGGGCGGGAGTTCTAAGGCTGCATCATGGCAGACGGGGATCAGGCCCAGCTGGTGTGGAGGGACCGACAGCCAAGACTAGGCCAGGCGGCACTGCAGGGCTAGGCAGAGAACAGCCAGGGGGCAAGTGGTCTGAGCTCCCTCCGGGGGCACAGCGGCAGGGAGAGAAAGGAAGGGTCTCTCCCCACCCTCTGACAGCCCCCATTCCTAGCCAAAGCCAAAGCCTCCCCACCACAAACGCAGCCGGCATCAAACAGAAAACTCTCCTAGGCCTTGGTGGGCACATGCCATCTTGTCTTCCCTGCCTCGCTTGGGTCGCCCCCAAGAGTGATCACTCTCCAGAGGAGGAAAAGACAGAGCCCAGGTGTCTCTCCCAAGACCACCTCGCTAAGGACACTGACCGTTGTGAGCAAGTACCATTTGTATCTTCGATCAAAAGACAGATGGAAACTGTGCCAGAGATGCCTGGGAACCAGCCTGTGAGCCACCCGTGAGCGTGCCCGGAGCCAGTGATGCCCCCTCTTCCTCTGCCCAGCTGGGGGGAGCGGCCAGAGGGGCTGCCCTGAAGGCCCTGGAGTAAGGCCCAGTCAATCTACAGCCACACACACCCTGCCACTCATGGGAGGCCATAGAAGAAAAAGGATTCTGGCCCCCCAAAGACTAGGCTTTGCTACTGAGTTCTTGCGAAAAAGGTGCATTCACCCGTGAGCCTGCACTTCCGGCCTGGAGAACCTTAAAAACCTGAGGGCCTAAGAACCTTCCAGGAACACTGGAGGGAGGGACAGCTCTTCCCTCATGGAAGACGTTACCCCCGTTACTATCAAAGCTAGGAAGCAAGGGACCCACAGCCACACGGCTAGCCCTGCTCACGGACCCAGCCACTCCTTGTGGCCGGCCTGCCTGCCCCCCAGGGTGTGTCTCCAGTCCAGCTGACTCTCCCCCTGCTTGGGCTTCTCGGCCCCCCTGCTCTGCCAGGCCCCATTGCCCACAGCAGGGTGCTCTAGCATGGCCCACAGTGAGGTCTGGATTGAACTTGCCCCTGGAGAGAAGTTAAAAGGATATTTTCCCGCCTTTGGGCTAAATTGAAGTTTTAGCAGTTGGATCAACATGCAGGAAATTCGGCAGCATTTCAGAAGATCCAGTGGCAGATGAACTTTGATTAAAAAAAAAATTGAGGTGGGCTGGGGGGGGTGCCTGCGACTCGAATGCCACCCCTGGGTGCCCACCTCCTGAACTGACTCAGTGCACAGACTTTTGTTCGACGCTGGCAGG